TTTATTATTTGCTTCGAGCCCTGTGTACAGGAGCTGCATGCTAAAAGATCTTTTGTTAAAAGGGTTGGCGTAATAAGCAAATGCTTCAGCCAATACCTTTTGATTAGCCTTGTCTCATGCTTTCTTGCTTTGTGGTAAATCTTTGTTCTGTCTTCACTGAGATATTTGAATGCTAATCAATCAATAAACATAAACATAAACATGGTAGTGACATTCATGGTGCACTATATGTTACAAAGCACATTAGTTAGAAGAGCTATGGACCCACTTGGGGGGGGACACACAGCGGCAAAAGCTATTTTGGATGCCGATGACACGGTCAGACTAGAGAGTAAGCTGCGTAATGATGTCGCCTGAAAAAACAAAGCCAACCAGTCAAGAAAAGAAAGCTTCGCATATCCCCAAGGAAGGACTTGAAGAGGTTGTCTCTTTTGATTGTGATTGCTGCAGTGATTGGAATAGAGGGTAAATCGATCGCTCCAGTTTAATTCACTTACGGTATTTCTTTAGGATAGAACTTTATTTTAAGCATCTTCTTCTCTTCTCCTAATACACGTGCATTTATTTAGTGATTTTGTAATCTTACTGACCACTCAAAGCCTTTCAGACAGTAAGTCACGTTTGAAGCATTACAGTCACGCAGTACTTCATCTAACCCAGATTCACAGCACACAAATGAACCTAACATGCATGTCTTTGGAGCATGCACAATGGAGAGCAAACTCCACACAGAAAGGTTCCAGCTGGGATATGAACCAAGAGCTGTCTTGCCGTGAGGCGACAGTGCCAACCTCTTCAACACCCCTTTTTAAGGCTCTTCTTTAGCTATATTCTTTATAGCTTCTCTATAACAATAGAGAGTATAATCAAAGCAAGTGTCACCTTAAAACTTCATTCATTTAAAGTTTAAACACTTCACAACAGCAACCCAGGTATTTGTGCGTATAAGAGATAACTCTTTCTTCTATCTACTCACAGCCCAGTGTCCCGCAGCGAGGTTCTGCAGCGCTCCTGCAGCTGCCTCCAGGGTGTTGTGGTTGTGACTGCAGGTGAGAAGAGAGAGGTAAAGCCTCACCACCTCCGGCTGGTACAGCAGCTCCAACCCTTGAACACAAAGTCAGAGAAATATTACTCTAAAAAACAAAAAGAAGAAGAAGAAGAAGAAGATCCCAAACCAGTTTGCAAATATATGTTTGTGTTCAAGACGTTTGTCTATGTAGGTCAGTTCAGGTCAGCAGGTTGGTAGGTCAGGGGCTAAATATATATTGTTTAATGGAAGAGTGTGGTAGAAAATTACTACTCCAGCTGACTCCCTACTGCAGAGACTTTTTTTTCTGTACTAAGCCAGGGGAGCGGAGGCTGCTGGATGCCTGACAAGTATAATAAAGCTGACCCTGAACCATAACATGCTTGTCATTCTGATTTGCATTCACAGACTGCAGCGTGGGAGGCATAAGCTGTTCTCTGATCTCTTTTCTAATGACAGCCAGATCCACATATACAGTATTCAAGCATACGGTACAATAGTGATTTCTGTTCTTTTCTCTTTTTTTTATCTTATACAATACCACATAAAGACATGTGGGTCATCCAGTGTTTTGAGCAAACGCCAGATAAAATGTTCAGTCTTTGAGTTGATGGGCTATTTTGTTTTAGTAATGAAATTTTCCACAAGTGGCGCAGGTGCTGATGCGTGGCTTTGCATTTCAATGAATTCTCTTTGAGGCCATGCCAAAATCATGCTCGCACAGCAAATAATGTAACGCAGAAAGCAGGTACTGATGACTGATAATAATGATAGACAGTGGAAGTCCTTCTTAATACAGTTACCTTTCAGCTATTTACTGTAAGCCTGATGCAAAGGTACTCTACATTTGTTGTATTTAAAGTGCAGTGTGAGGCTTATGACTGTATTATTGGATACCTTTCATTAGCTCTGTACATTTTGGTAAATCCAATGTACTGTATTTTCTGTCCATAAATCCATTTTTCCAACCTGCATATCACAGATACACACATGCACACAAACACCGGTTTTTAGACAGAGATAATGTCAACAAATTGATCGTGGTATCACAACATCACCGCTACGGAAAGATTCTGGAGGAATAAGCAGACTGACCTTGATTGAACCACTCTTCTGATTAATGTGATTTGAAGGGAAAGAAGAAAGAACAATGTCAGAACAATGTAATTATGCCGCAAAAACGGACACATCAGCAGAAAACACATGGCTCCTCCGTGTAGCGAGACACTGAGCAACTTATCAGACTAATGTTTTGCTCACAGGGGTATTTGTCAGCTTTAGCATTGCTGAGAACCATAAAACTTTAAATCACTGTTAACTCAAACCCTAATGGTTCCCCATTAAGTTGTTTCCTTCTCCACAGAGTGCTGCAGCCTATTAATTCTCAGCAACATGTCTAATTTTTATTTAGGTATATAATGTTAAAAAATAATGGTCCAGCCTTCGCTGTCCTTATTGTTGCATCAGTGGCATGGTGCAAAAATTGCATAACTGATGTAACAAAGCATATCTAGGCGTTTTCCAATTTCTGAACCTTGCATTCCAGCCCAAAAGTAAAATCTATCATCAGCTCCTCCGTCTGCAGGAATATGAAATATTCAGATTCTGAGAGGCATAAAGGGATAATAAAGAAATGTGAGGCCTAACAGCAAAAAAGGCAAAACGAACAATCTGGTCAGAGATTACAGCTGTAAAGTGTAAACAAACAAAATGTATCCCGCTGAATATTAGTACAGAAAATGTGTGTCGAGCACTGAAAAGGGAGGAAGAAGAGAATAAACATTTTGATAGTAAACTGTCCATCCCTCATAAAATTACTGCGGATATGTTTTAGACATTTTCACCTTGTATACAGCATATAGAGTCCTAATTTGAGTCACACATGCTATGATGTATCTTACCAACCTTTGGGTCTTTTTCCTGAAAAACAGTCTGGTTCATTTTTCTTTGGATGCCCGATGGATCTCATGAGATGATTTCCGTGGGGCTCCTGAAATCGCTCCGCTCCTGGTATTTCTTTGTGAACGTGATAGGACAGGTTCCGAAGGATGCAGACGCAGTTCTCCACCGACTATGTGAAGAGCAGTGATGAAAGATTGCAGTTTAAAAAAGGATGTATAGAAAAATAATTCTTTAAATACCACATCAGAGAAATTAGATTAGAGTCTCCTTATAAAAAGGAGAATTTTGAGAAAATCTCAAGAGCTTTGAAGAACCTCATCCATACCTTGATTGCTTTGATGACGTTTAATAACCATCTGAATCTGGTGCTGTTTTCAAAATTAACTTAAATTTGAGACTAAAACAACTTGACTTTCAGTGGATTTTCTATTTCAAGTACTTTATAGTTAAAGTACTTCAATAAATATACTCACAAGCCATCCCTAAACTCTAAAAGACAGAACATTTTAAAAAATTCATAAAAACAGAACTTCCACTTAAGCAGTAAGAGAGACTAAACACAGGTTTAATTAGAAAGACAGACACTAATAAACAATGAGCTCAAGTAATAAGCCAATATGACCGGGGTTTAAAGATTTTATGCTCCGGTCTCCCAATAGCAGGATCAGAGAAAAAAAAATCTGTGGTCCGGAGAAATACATCCCGATATACCCCATCCATCCTATGTCCACTGACACTGAAACGAACAAACTAAGAGCAACACAAACAGTTTTCCCTAAGTGGAATTTCTACAAACTGTTGTTTAGAGCAGCACTTGAAATCCCCCTTGTTAAGTTTTATGGGCATTACATAAAGAGGGGTATTTATACCCATGGTGTACTTGTTATGCTGTGCAGGTTCAAAATAACTCAAAATACTTTACTAACTGTAATAGTCAAGTAGTAAATAAATATTTTATAAATGAACACTATAGATAGCTATATTTATTCTACTGCTAAAAGTCATGAAAAGTAGTTTTAAAAGGAAAAGGGCATAGAATTTAAAAGTCAAAATTATGCGGCTAAAACTGTACAAAGATTGGGAGAGCTGTGGAAAAAATAGTTCAATATTTAGTTACATTTCTTGGGTACATGGCTGAGACGTTTAGGTTCTGTGGCCAAATGGTGGAGTAAATGTGAAGTTTACCAAACTGGCCCAAGCACAGACAGGTCAGCTGGGTAAAATGAATTGTAACAATACTAAAGGCCATTTTAAATAAGTTTGGAGCATGACCCGTAGTGTTGAAGAGTTACTGAAGTTCATCTGTCGGGCACGTTTGTTGGGCATGTCCAGTACATCTTTTCATCCCAAGAGCGATACAAGCAATTAATCATTCCATCAAGTGACTCCCACAGACCTGTTTGGATTCACAATTATAAGTACCTCACTACTTTGTTAAAGGGTTGGTAAACAGTGGTTGATAAGAATGTATATGACTGTATAGTAGAGGTGTAAGTAGCTATAGGGGTTATTAAGGTTAAAAACTATATGGTGTATAAACATGCAGTCAGTGATAATGTCAAAAATATGCAGCTACACTGTTGTATATTAGGAGTCACCAGCATCACCAGTTATGATGTCACAATTTTAAGCATGGTTACATTTCTCTGCAGCTTTGAGAAATAATTGTCATCATTAGAAGCTACATTTAGATTTTCATTTACTCTTAAACTTGAAATAAGAGTAGTGACTGCAGCGACCTTATTGTCTGTGTCCTTGTTGACAACAGCTGACTGAAGGGCATGAAGGAGCGCAGCCACCAACCCCTCACACTCTCTCAGTCTCTGTCGAGCCTCGGCCCCATCTGAGCTGACGTTCCTGCAGAAACAACTTTGTTTGCAAAGCTGCACAAACTCCATCACAAGTGAGCTTTTACCGGCTGTTTGTCATATGTTCCACAATGGCCAGCGGGGTTACCTCAGACACCCAGAGGTGTTCTTGAAGACTGTGGTCCACTCAGCGCTCTGCAGTTTCGAGGGGTCTGCTAAGTCTCTCTTCCAGCCTGAGTGTGGGATGATGATTTCATCAGTCAGTGTTTGAAGTCCGTGGTTGATTACCATCATCTTTAGTGGCTCGTGTGATGAGAGGTTCCACAGGGTGCCTGCAGTGATAGAATACAATTATGAATAAAGAATAAAGTTGAAGAAGTAGCTTTAAAAAAAATCAGCGATACCTGTCACTAACTCTTTGACCTCCATGCTGCTAGTCTTCCTCAGCAGCCTAACTAAAGCTTGGATTCCATCACAGTTCTTGATGGCCATCTTATTATTGTGGTCTTTCCCGAAAGATATATTGCGCAGTGCACCGCAGGCCTTGCGGTGGACTTCTGCCTTAGGATGGTCTAATAGTCCCACCAGAATTGGCACTCCATTCAGGTGGCGGACCTCTTGCTTGATTCGGTCATTCTCATAACACAGGTGCTGCAGATAGGCTGCTGCGTTGGACTTGACTGGGTCCATTGGGTGGCTGAGCATGGAGATCACCTCATGCAGATTGGGATCTCTCCAACGCGGGTCTCTTCGGATACTGTCCAGGCTGACCATGCTGCTTCGTTTGTGGGGTAACTGCAGGGTTTGCGCTCGACACATGGCCTGGAAGAAAGGATTCAGGTTCCCCTCCAGCTGTGCCATGAAGGCGTCGTCGTAGCCACTTCTATAGAGACAGATATACACACACACACGTTCATGTGTGGATCAGGATTGATAACAATACATCTCATATATCAAGTCATCTGGAACATGTGTTTACTTCCTTGCTAAAAGTGGAAATTATTAATAAGCGTTTTTTAGCTAGTACCAGTACCAAAATTAGCCAGTAGCCGCTTACCTCTGTAGCTTAATAAACAATGTGCCTAAATTTGCTTGTGAAATTTGGTTGTGTAGTGGCCACAAATTTAAAACTTTAGCATTTTTCTTTTCACCTTTGAACAAAAGCCAAGTTATCTCTTTGCTCCTGAATACAGAATTTATGCTTAGCTATGCTAACAATCACATAGCTTCAGACTCCACTGTAAGAGAGGTGGTATCTTTCGTCTGCATATTCTCAACAAGAAAGTGAACCATTTCCCAAAATCTATCGTATTGTTTCTTTAAAATTCAACAGGCTTAATTAAGCAGATTCACATTACAATCACTGTGTCTAATAGATTGAGCTTCAGTAAATTTACAAGTGTTGTAGCTTTGGTAAACAGTTCTGTCTGTCTGCGCGAGCGAAGGAAAAGCTTCTGGCAGCCAATAACAGGTGAAACCTCCTTATTTATCAACTTTGCAGCAGGCTGCCATCCCCGATTGATACCAGCTGCTACTTAACTGCTGTCCATCTGTCTTTCTATTATCCAGGCTGACTCGAGACTGGAGCAAAGACAGAATCTGGATGTTTGTGCAGGTAAATAATTTAGTATATAGTATTATCATGGTGGGTCCTGTGAGATTGGAATTTGGCAACCTGTTGGAATTGTTAAAAGATTAGATGTACATATTTAAAATGTTAGGTTGTGAGATTTATAATATTTTTTTCGGAAATTGTCAGGAATTTTTCTAGAAAACGTGTCAATAACCTTTTGCTTTAATCATGCTAGAAAAACTAATCAGTTGTAGTGTGGACATATGCTTGCTATGAATGTCAAAGGTCAACTGGCTTTTCAGATTAGCTTCAGTTTGTAGAGGCCATTTGTAAAAGGTGAATTCATTACCAGAGACCTTCTTGATATTTCAATAAACCAAACTTCTTCGCCTCCGACTAGCCCCTCCTCAAAACACACACATAAATTACCCTAAATAAACTCACTCCACACCAAACCCGCTCAACTGCTTCACTTAAGAATGTCCTGTTAAATCTTCACCTCTATAGTGTAGAGAATGACTGACAAACCAACACGAATATATTACAAATTACAAATTCTTCCCTCAAATTATCTACATAAGGACTGAGCTGTATTTGTCCCCATCTGTAGGCCATAATGAAAAGATAGAAACACACTGTGGGATCCATAACATGTCATCTAATGTATCATTACCTACCTGGTTCTCGAGGGCTCCCTGAGAAGCTCCATGGTGGTGATTGGCCTAAACTGGTGGATTCCCCCCAGTGTTGGATAATTTAGAGGTGGGTGGTTGGTCTTCATATCCACAGGGTTTTCTCCCCGTTCACTGTGGCCGTCCTGTTCTGGCTGGCTGCTCAGGCCTGCAGAGGCGTAGCTGTCTCTGAGGAAGGGTAAGGTGTAGTGAGCCCCTGACTGGAAGTTTTTGGCGGACCAGTAGCCATGGAGGTTAATTCGGGACAGGCTTCCATATCCTGCACATAAGTCACCCCCGATACCTCTGTAGGCATCAGGTAGGGCGTACACTGCGCTCTGACTGTCTGGGTTAGCTGACTGAGGCTCAGAAGGCTGCACTATCAGCTGGGGTTGTGGGGGTGCCATGGTAGTGCTGATGGTTGTTGTGGTTGGTGTAACAGCCTCAGAGGGCTGAGTGCTTGTTTCAGGAGTAGGTTGTTCAGTGGTAGCGTCATCTCGAACCACTGATGGTGATGTGAGATCAGGTGAGGCTGATGTCTGCAGGTTCTCCTGCTGTATCTCTGTAGATTCTTGGGTCTCACTCGTGGCCTTTTCACCCTCTTGTTCCACAGCCTTGGACTCCTACAAAGATAGACGCAGCTGTTATCCCAGTCTTATCAGAATCTGTGCTAATCTTCCCACTTTTCTCTCTTTCCTTTTAATCCCAGAAAATTGGTGTTTACAGTGACATCGGGAGGTATTTGGTCTGGATGTACTACAGTTGCACAAAATTGTTTCTGTTACCTGCAGTGTGTTAATCATTTTGTTTTTAACTCTACGGCATATCCCATTTCTTATAGTGATGATCAATCATCATCTTTTTAGCACATCCCTGGCTTAGTGAGCCTACAGTAAATAATGACTTCTTTGTTTCTGCCAAAGGATAATGAATTCCCCTTAGTTGAAAATGAGTTCAGATTGGAATCCAGCAAAAGAAGTTGAGGCCCAGCCACTGTTTGGAAGCAGAGTCAATTGCTGGAAATTTAATTGTCTGCTGTAGTAAATTGATTTTTACTTTAACTCTTGGATTGCAGAGTGTACGATAACTTATTGTCAAATTAAACTAACCATATTCAATTCTATGACCAATGATTAATACACCTTTTAAGTCTGTGGACTTGCCAATCAATCATAATCTACATTAACAAGGTGCATTAAGTTACCAGGTGGTGGCAAAGTGTGACCTTAAAGTCATTCACCTCAGTGTCTGTCTGCTGTGGGGTGTCGGTTTCTGTGGAGCTTTCATTGGTCGAGGTCATCACAGAGGCAATGGAAGTGGGCGTGTCCAGTTCGTCACTGGCTGATGGGTTATCCAGAGCTCCTTCTTTGGCTTCCTGGGACAAAGACAGTGGAGGAGGCCCCTCTGCACTCTGCTCCTAAATAATAAAAAAAGAACCACGTAAAGCTTTGTCAGTGATCACATTAATGGTGTGTATTGTGTACAACCCGACCCGATCAATTAGTCAGCGTTACTAGGAAATGCATTGACTAATATGAAAAATGGGGAAAAAATACATAACATTATTCAGAAAAAGTAATTTAGAATAGGTTTTGTGAAACAGTTTGTCAAGCAGCACATGCAGCAGTGTATCAACACAGCTGAGCAGATGAGGGTGGGGAGCCAAGCAGTGGCTGTTTTATGAAATGTTAAACAATTGCCCCATCATTTTGCTTTGTCACTATACTAACTATAGCGCATTCTATCTTTATATATAGTTGTGGTCAGAAGCTTAAATACACTCATCATGGATGAATGTCAGGCTAAAAAAACAAGAATTAAGTGCAGAAGTTTCTGTAGAATCCATAAAGGTTAAATCATACATACTGGATCAAATTGTCCTTAATAAGTTGCACTTCAACCAGATGCTTTTGGTAGCTAACGACAAGCTTCTGGGATCATTCTAGGTGGATATTTGACCGCTCTCTTCTTGGCAGAATTGTGTTAGAATTCATTTAAATTGTTTGGTCCAGCTTTCAAGCGCAGTCCATACATTTTTGTAGTTTCAAGTTAGGGTTTGAGTTTGTAATTCTTGGTCCTTTTTTAAGAATTTCCATATTTATGATTTGTTATGTTCTTGTAATGTTGTTTTGGATTATGTGCTGGAGTTTATAGTTTGTTTGTTTTTTTGGAAGGTTATATTTTGGTTCTTGAGTTCTAATTATCATGTCTTTCCTATGTCTTTTTGTCAGCTCTCCATCTTTAATCGCTTGGTGTTTAGTACTTACTATGGTTGGGTCCCTGCGCCTAGGACCCAGTGTTTTCAATGTTGTCTTGTTTGTGCATTCCCTGGCTTATCTTTATATTGCTGTACCACCTGATTCTGTTCACCTGTGTCTTCTTTTTCCCATCTGTGTCTTCTCTCCCTAATTACCTTGTGTGTGTATGTAAGCCCTCAGTTTTCCTTTGTTCCTTGTCGTGTCATACTATTGTGTTTCCTCCACATCATTATTCCAATATCTGGACTCTAGCCATGTGAATTTCCTGCCTCAGCCCCAATAAAAGCCCCACTTTATTTTAGTTAAGTCCTCAAAGTCTCCTTTCTCCACCTTCACACTCCTTATGACAGGTTGAGGTCAAGACTTTGACAAGGCTATTCCAGAGCTTTATGCTAACCTGCTCTATCTATTCCAAAACCTGTTTTTTGGGAGGATCGTTTCCTGCTGGAACACCAAACTAAAGTGCTTTAAGCTATCTAGCTGTTGGTTTAAGGTGAACTTGAAGAATTTGGAGACAGTCCTAGTCTTCACCACTGGGAGCAAAACTGTCCAACAGTATAAGGCTCCCACCACCATGCTTGTCAGCTAGTATCGTGTTTTTAGGTTTGAAAGCTTCATCTGTACTCCTCCAAATATACGTCTTGTCAAATAGCTCATCCATTGTCTCTTGACCATAAAACTTCACTTGAGCCTTGGCTATTCCTGAACATCTAACCAATTTCCTTAGATGGGTCTTCTTACAGACCTTGGGAAAGTGGTGACACATCCAAATGTTTTAAGTACAATTGTCTGAACTAACAATCTTGGAATATGCAGTTTTTTAGAAATGGCTCCTTCCTAACTTGCATAAATCTCCAATTTTCATCTTAGATCTTCACTGAGTTCCTTGGGATTTCTCATTGTTCTGATTATTGGTCAGTCCAGTGAGAGCTATCAAACAAATCATTTTTATGCTGGCAAAGAGAAACTCACTCATGAAAATCATGATCACTAATGAGAATTTAATAAGCCCTGGCCTTGTCCATTTAAAAGACTTAGAACCATGTGCACTTGTGCACTCTATTCTTGTATTGTAAAGTGATTAAAGATATGTGCTGTCATTCCACCCTGGAAAAGGAACAGCTTGAAGATATCATTTAACACCCCAAATTATCACGACACTCATGCCCATGATGACAGTGTGTAGACGTCTGACCAAAATATAACCGTATGCATAAGAATATATAGGATATATTTACATATAAATATTTCATAGTATATAATTAAATCCAACTGCCTAAAATTGAGAAATATATTGCTGTCCATGCTCTAATGTACATAATTCTTACAATACATTAAAAAGGACATTGCAATTTAGTAAACAACATTATGATAGCATACTGTGTCATTAAAGCAAGTGCACATAATAAGGAAGCTGCACTTAATGTTGGGTTGTGAGCAGAGTCAGTGCTGAGAGCTCATCTCCTTTAAATTATCATGTAATTTATGTAATTCAAAACACAAACTGTGAATTCCTGATGAAAAATATACTCACTTTTTAAATTAGACTAATATAAGTCTGGAGGGAAAAAAAAACACAACAATCTGTCTGTGTATGAGCTTTTTTGTGAACTGTAATCTAATTGGGCAAAATGTCCACTGGGAAAACAATGACTCAAGCTGGTTCAGGGCAGTTCTGTCCACGATCATGCCTATCATGCACAAAAACAAAGAGAGAAAGTAAAAGAAACGTAGCGACATAATAAGGAACCCTAAAAGGAAGCCTTATATGCATACTAGAGTGCACAATACAGAATCAGTTGGCTTGTTTCTGCCATCTTGTAATCTAATCAAAAATATCTATAATCCCTGGATATATGCATAATTGCTTTCTTACTTATGTGCACTGGAGTGTGCTTCCATTTGTTTTAGCTGTAATAGGCAATTCCTGAACTTTCACACTCAATTCCCGTTAAAATTGAGAAACTACTCCCCTTATTTAAACAGATAAAGTTATCAGCCAACTTTCTCAGCACTTGTGAAAACTTAAAACGTTATGACTTCAGGGAGCTAAATTATCTTTCAACATTAAAAAAAATATATATTTGACAGTCATTTTACAAGGAAGCTTTCAAAGACTAAGCAAAGATAGAGTGCTGTGAAAAAGTATTTCTTAGTTTTTTGCATACTAGTCACACTCAGATCATCAGACTATTTTTATTATTAGACAAAGATAACCTGGGGAAACACAATCTAAAGAAACCCAAGAGCCGCTAGGAAACAAAGTCGTGACATCTATCAGTCTAGAAAGCGTTGCAAAGCCATTTCTAAGGCTTTGGGACGTCCCGAACCACCTAATCAAAGCCGTAATCAAAAAAAATGGAGAAAACTTGAAAACACTTGAAACAATGATGAACTTTTCGAGGAGTGGCCAGCCTACCAAAATGACTCCAGGACAGCTCATCCAGGAGGTCACAGAAGAACCCAGAATACCATCTAGGCCTCACTCACATCGGCTAAGTTCAGAGTTAATGATTCAGCAATAAGAAAGAGACTGAGGAAAAGTGGGATCCATGAAAGAGTTTCAAGGAGAAACCACTGCTGACCAAAAAGATCACAAAGGTTTGTCCCAAATTTTACAAAAAAACATCTTGATGATCCCAAGACTGATTTCAAAAAATAATATACATGTGTGATGGTCTAGGGCTGTGTTGGTGCTTCAGGATCTGGATAATATGCTATAATTGATGGACCCATGAATTTTTATCTCTACCAGGAAATCCTGAAGGAGAATCACCAGCCATCAGTTCAAGCGCTTACTAAAGTTATTTTAGTCTAATTTTAATTAGACTAAATGTATTCTATTTTTTCTATGATATTCGAAATCTTGTAAGTGTGACAAATATGCAGCAAATAAATAAATAAGAAAATGGGGAAGGGGGCAAATGCTTTTTTACAGCACTGTATATTTATTACTTGACATATATTGCCCCATCTTCGGTGCTTGCAAACTGAAGTGGATGGGATAATGCTGAGTTCCTCAGAATTAAGTATGCATCAGATCAGCTCCACTGACTGAAACATCATGCAGGTAATACTGGTTCCTCTGTGTTGTTAAAAACTGTATCTACCTTATTCACAATGTGTTAAGTAAGAATTTCTTGAAATGGCCCATTAGCGAAACGCTGAGCAGAGCGACACTGTAATGGCACTGTACGAGTCTCAGACAGTTAATTACTTAATAACAAATCGGTGAAACGTGGTTTAGCATCTCTGAGCCCTGAGCTGTGCTACTGCTCTGGTACAAAATGTGGATATTTCCATAATTTAATCTTGTTTATTTCAGGCAGAAGTTAAATTTCCCCTCCAATTTAACAAAACTGGTTTCATTAAGCAGAGTGGATTAATTATTGAACATCTTGGTCTGAGAAATAACTGGAGGAACTTTTTGACTGTAAACACATTTTCAGCTGACTTTAAACTTCACAATTATTTCAGTATGTGTCTGCAGAAATTTGATTAACGGCTCTGCTCATTGTAATAAATGGCTAATGTACATCCTTGAGTCTTCAAGACCCTCTGAGTGAAGAGTTAAAATTATACAGGCAATAATGAAAGCGCCCAATCAAAACAGTAGAGTACAATTAAAATCTTTTATAATGAAGAAAATTATTCAACTGCATCATCAGTGAACCATCCTCAACAAGTCCTCCAACTAATCTAAATCAATTTTCCCCGTGATCACTCAACGGCACATGCACAATATACTGAGATAAAACAAAATAAACTGTTAAATCTCCTCAAGCTTTCCTCTTTCTGAGGCTGCGGCATTAAACTGAACAAGAGGCGAGAACTAAAACCCACTGCATTAAATCAGGCTGCAGTGAGCAGCTAACTGAATGTGTGGAGAGGGCGAAAGAGAGCCTGATTCGCTTTCAAACACCTCACCTCACAAGAGCCCCTCATATCCATGTGCAAAATGTGTCAGTGGGGAGTGGAGATGAAAGGGTCACCCAGGAGAAACTGGCAGTGGGGGGATGATCCTAGCCTGAATACCTCTAGGGGAGGCTGATTGGATATTGTTAGGCAGCATTAAATGAAGGCCTGGCCAAAAGACAGAAGGGGTACTACTGTCCTCTACAGAAGGCTTGATTAAGGATTTGCAGGATGTTAATAGGCTGGACAGTGGCCTGTGTGCTGTCTCTGTCTGATTCAAGCTCCAGGGAAGGCCAGGCCCCTGTGAGTCAAAGCTCATTTAAATAACTCACTGCACCATCACTAAGTATGCTCGCAGAGCCAAATAGGTCAAGATGATGATTCTGAATCCGACTGAGATTTAAAGGGGGAAAAAACGAGTTATGGTATATAGATGTTAGGTGCAGTGGTGCAGGGACAGAATGACATGATTAGAATCTTGTTCCCATCAACTCTCAGAATCGAGGCCAGCAGCAGCAGCACTCAGGGTTTTATTTTGGGAGGAAGAGGCTGATCTAATGCTGACTAAGTTCAGATTTTGGTGACCAGCTCAAGGGCATGACAGACACAAGCCATGATTCAATCTGGTCTCAGGTCTATTTCAAAAAAAGAACAACGGGCATTCTTGATTGCATTTACATGTGAGGGTCAAAGTCATTTAGGAGTGATCAAACTGGGGTATAAATTTGCTTAAAAAGACAGCTTGTCTTTATCCGAACGGAGGATTGAAACAGTAATGCTGCCACGGGATAATAAAACATGACATCAGCCTGCTGATGTCAGAAGACATTAGTCACAACTTTGTCACAACTCATCTGCCCTCTACTATCTGTTGAATCAGTGATGCTTAAGTGCAAATGTGCAGAATAGTGAGCTAAAATTGCACTGAAATGGCAGACGCTTTAATAAAACTCCTCTTATTTGTGGGTAATTTCCTGCAGAAGGGCCATTATGCAATGCATCATGTTTAAGCTTGATGTAGCCACGCTTCTCTGTTTGAAAGAAATACTGATTCAAAATGACAATCCAGAGTGAAAAAAATGGGGAGAGGAAATTCTTCCTCAACATTTCCATCAGAAGCCAGATTTCACTCCTGATCACAGGCTGATCCTCAAATAGTTAAATGCTGCATGGTCAGATTTAATGTCTCACTGATACAGTACATCATGGCAATGCACTTAGCAGAGTGTGTGCAGCATCACCCCCCCTCCCTGCCACCCCCCACACCCCTCAAGAGGAACAACCTTTCCTCTTAATGCAATCAGATATGATCCTCCTCATGATATTGCCTACAACAACAACAAAAAAAGCAGCATGCATGTTCACACGAGCACACTCACAAACATGCGCACACTTGATGAAGACCTTAGCGTCATGTCCCCATGCACGCAAGGAGACCGCACCGACCAGCAGCGAGAGGTAAGGAGGTGAAGCTACTGATGCCTCTTTCATTCATCATGACAGAGGCAGAATGCAAAGCTGTGGATTGCTACAGTTTTCTCTCTGCAGGAAGAAAAAAAACTGATGGGCAAAAAAAAAAAAAAAAAGAGGGAGGGTACAGAGCAAATAGAGCCATTCCACCACACACACTTACCTCTTTCACTTCAGCAGGCATTGCCAAACCTTTTCTGCTTCCCCACAAATGATGAACAAGATGCGTCCCCCAGTGAGACTTGTGTTTCTCTGCCTCTGCTGAATATTGCCTTGACTCTCTTTCAGCATCTGAGGCAGTTCAGACATGAGCAGCCATCCTTCCTCCCTGCTTGCACTAACACACGTCCGCGCTCTCTCTCTCTCTCTCTCTCTCTCCCTCTCTCTCCCTCCCGCTCTCCCTCTCTCTGCCTCTATTACTCTTTCTCTCACAAACACACACTAGACGCACCATGCACACATTTGCTCAACACAGATGTTCCCTCGCATGCGCTCTCTCTCTCACACACACACACACAAACACGCACACGCACACATGCTCTGAGCAAGAATGAACGCAGGGCTCTCTCTCATTACTGCACTCCTCCTCTGATCTGTACTGCAGTTAATGTGTGTGCTATTAGCGAGGTGCTGAATCAACTGTGTGATGCCGAGCTTAGGTAAGTGCAGAGCCCCGCAATCCCTGTGCTCTCCCCAATATTTTCTGCCAGCTCTGGTCCAAGGAAACACGTGTACACACATGCACTCACACTTACAAGTGTGTATTATGCACACACATGCAGCTACACACCATCCCCTGTGGGCTCACAAGCTGATGCAGCTGGAGCAGAGCAGCCCGCACTAGTTCAGTACTATGTCACCCATGTGCAGCATAACAAGGAACAAGGGGGATTTGAGCAGTGGAGGGATGGTAGCATGGCTAAACACTGCATGCAGCACTGGACAGAGGAACAGGCTCCGTGATTAGTGAACTAAAAGATTAGCTCAGAAAAGTGAAACAAATAAATCAAGCCCCCTTTCACAGCCTATCAAAGTCTGTCAGCAAAGCCACCCCATTCTGTACCTGCTCAATTCATTATCATTTAGTTTATATGCCCCCCCTCCCCCACAAAAAAAAAAAAGAAAAAGCACACTAAAACAGCAGGTGAGGTAAATGCTGCACCTTTTTTTAGGTGTCATCGCCATAAAATTTTGAATTACTCATTGCAGATGTCCTTTGTGAATATCACAGCTGATCTGAGGCATAATCCACCACTCGACTAGATCATGATAAAGTCCTCTGTCTTACTTACTTTCTCAGATGAAAAAAAAAAGCAGTCCAGGACATCTTCCAATTTTCCACCAGACCACTTGTACTGAGACAGCAGTAATTCACATAAAAAATGATTTGCTATCATCCACAGACCAGTGCTCTCCAGCTGTCTGTCTTATTGATTTAAGAGAACCCCTCGCTATCATTGATCTTTCATATTGCATAGTCTTTCACAGTCTACAGCTTGTCCTTCTCTAATCTAACACATCTGCATCTTTGAAGTGTGTTTCTTTTAACAGTAAGGCAATCATCCTTTTCTCTTTGTCATTTCATGTAATCCTTTGTTAGTGAAAAACCTGTCGTGTGCAATTTCATTTAAAATATACACATCAGTGGAGTATCTACTAAAATCACTCATGTGGCTCTTCCAAAGGAGCCTTCGTTTTTATGTCTCAGAGATCAACAGATTATGCTTAATACAACATTTTCATGAAATAAAAAAAAAATGCAAAAGAAAATCAAAGCAACATCCATAGAACGTGATCACATTAGTAAGATCTGTATATATATATTATATATATATATATGTCTATATATTATATATATATATAATGGGTTGCATTTTATATAGCGCTTTTCGGGACCCCTCAAAGCGCTTTACAATACCACTATTCATTCACTCTCACATTCACACACTGGTGGAGGCAGCTACAGTTGTGTGTGTGTATATATATTAGGGGTGCAATGATACTCGTATCGATATTGAACCGTTCGATACAGTGCTTTCGGTTCGGTACTACGGAGCCCCGCAGGAACATGGGAGAAAAAAAAATTAAGACAGACTTTTGCGAGATCTCACAAAAGTTTTGCGAGATCTCGCAAAACTAACTCGGGATCTCGCAAAACTTTTGCAAGATCTCGCAAAAATTGAATTCCAACAATGGCGGCAGCTACTTAGTTGTAATATTACTCTTTCTGTGTCACAAAATACACTTTTAAGACATTTTGAGGCGTGAATGTAGTTGTGTAAACGTCAGATACCTGCTCGGTTTACAAGACATCACATATTTGCAAAAGTGCTCCAACGTTTTCGGAGATCTGACATCCACTAGCTCGAAGCTAACGGGAGGTCGAGACGGCTTCGAGCTGGCGGCCTCCGAAGAATGTGGCTAAAACTTTTGCTAGATCCCGAGTTTGTTTTGCAAGATCTCGCAAAAGTTTTTGTGAGATCTCGCAAAAGTCCGTCTTAATTTTTTTTTCTCCCATGTCCCCTGCGGGGCTCCGTACGGTACGCATATGTATCGAACAATACAAATTTTTAGATTTACAATTTACAATTTATTTTATCAACTTTTCTTCTGACGATGCTGTCTGTGTTGAGAGCTCAGTGGATCTGCGTTCGACTACTCCGCCTAGGCTGCACTGTCGAGCGCAGATCCACTGAGCGCAGCGCAAGCTAGCAAGACAGAAGCTAAGCTCGTTGCAACATGGCAAATTGAACCTCCCCCACCCTCATTCAGATCTGGCCTTTGGAACTATTTTGGTCTTCATGTGACGTATGACCCTGAAGGTAAGCGCGCCATGGACAAAACAATGCTCAATTACATGGGTGGGAACTAGTGCGTTAGCGCAGTTTGCTCGTTAACGTGTTGGCCGTCCAGCCCCACGCACGGGGCAATCCGCGGTAGCTCGTTAACGGAGATTTGCCGTGTTGTGGCGTTAACGTCATTTCAGATTAACGCTGACAGCACTAGTGGGAACACAA